TTATAGTTTCAACCATTATTTTGGTCGTCATTAAGTATTTCGGAGATTAATCAGTGGGAAGTTTGTAGATGATACACGCAAGGAGCTTTTAATTGATTTAGTGTAAAGTTTTTATTTGTTATTACTCTGTTATTGATATTTATATACTGTAGACATATTGTTTTGTTATAGATCTAACTTCCACATCTTCCATTAGTATTTTGGTTTTGTTCATTCATCTTTAAATGTACGGTATTATAGTATTTTATTTTTATTCTGACTACCTTATTTATATACTGCCAAATAAATGTAATATATCTCTCAAAATAGAAAAAAATAATAATTGTATATTTCAATAAGCTTTTAACTTAAAATTAGAGAATAAACAGATCTAGCTCCTCAATTTACAGATGTATTAAATATACCAACCTGTAATACCCTTAAAGTTCTGGTAGCATATTTAAAGTTATTTTTAGTAAAATATGTCTGTAAATGATTAAAAGATATTTTTAATATGCGACTTATTGAAGTTAATGTACATTTTTTCAATAAGCAATTCATAGGTTTCCTGTTATAATTTTGGGGTTTTTTTTCTTGATTTTTGTGGGTGGCAGTTTTTATTTTCCAGGTTACTACAGTATACCAGCAAATTTCTGGAAAAAAAGGAATGAGTTTCTGTTGCTTTACAAAAAATAATACTCTAGTCAAGTCAAATATAATTTTTTTATATAAAAAATCAAATCTTTTTGCAAAGTGCACATTTATTCTTAAACTACACAATCAAGAATTCGGATAAAAGAAACAAACACAAAATCACCTGTTTACAATGAATTAAAACTTCATATACTTATATAAACTTATACAGTAGAACCTCGATTTTACGTACGGTACGGGACCAGAGGGCGTACTTAAATCGGGGGATTCGTAAAATAGAGGTTGGGTTAAATTTGTGGTAACCTTTGACCTAATACGTACGTAACGCTCAATAAACGTATGTACGAACGAACGATGATACCTAGGCTAGACCTAGAATACCCTTAAAGTTCTGGTAGCATATTTAAAGTTATTTTTAGTAAAATATGTCTGTAAATGATTAAAAGATATTTTTAATATGCGACTTATTGAAGTTAATGTACATTTTTTCAATAAGCAATTCATAGGTTTCCTGTTATAATTTTGGGGTTTTTTTTCTTGATTTTTGTGGGTGGCAGTTTTTATTTTCCAGGTTACTACAGTATACCAGCAAATTTCTGGAAAAAAAAGAATGAGTTTCTGTTGCTTTACAAAAAATAATACTCTAGTCAAGTCAAATATAATTTTTTTATATAAAAAATCAAATCTTTTTGCAAAGTGCACATTTATTCTTAAACTACACAATCAAGAATTCGGTTAAAAGAAACAAACACAAAATCACCTGTTTACAATGAATTAAAACTTCATATACTTATATAAACTTATAATACAATTAACAAATTCAATAATAAGATTTATAATTTCAAGGAAATACAAAAATAAGATCTTTTTCCCATCTCCAGCATGTAATGAGGAAAATCAGATACATTATTTGAAATGATGCTGCAATGATTCACCACAGTGACTCATTTTAAAGGTTTTTTAGAAGATACGGTACATCATTCAGTCATTCTCGTCATCCCATATAAGGAATAAACTTACTGATGCATGCAATGTGATATTCATATAACTTACTAATGACTACGCCATGACTTCAGCACAAAAGATACATTGTAAGTGTTGTATGGAAATGTGTGTATACATGCAGTGCTCGTCCAACGTTTGCATTACCGGTAGTTAAATACAAACATTAATAGTATACTGTAGCATTGCTTATACCAACCGTGTGTTTGTCACAATAGATTTTACCATAGGCACATACAAACTAGTAACATCGTGTGCATATTGTACTGTAGTAAAACGGCTCAGGTTTTTTTCCAAAAGACAGCTGATGTTCATAGCATTGTGGACATACAAACTTAGTGTGTGTGAATTTAGAGATATAAGCCCTACTGATATTATAAGAAATAATAATAATAATGCTATCTATATTATCTTTTCATACCGAACACTATACTGATCATCTTTCACTAGAGTTCTTTCACTATTATGTTTACATGTATTTATAAGCGTGTATACGTGCCTTGATATTGTCCATACCAATGTTTTAAAATTTATAGTTGTTTCTTTTGCTTTGTTATCATTACATTTGCATTAAGAATGTAATTTTTTATATTCATGTATAAAGTATGAAAAGAAAGAATATATATTCAGCAAGTGAATAAGCCGTTAACCTAGCGTGTGTACATAGTAATAGACCATTTCCGCAAAATTAAAAATGAAAGTTTCTGATGACCTGGCAACTACCACTGGGGGACTTTCAGAGGCTTAGCATTTCGCTCAACTTACAGTAGTTATCATCATGGATTAAATCAACGATAAAACTAAATTACTAACGAGCACAAATATTTTAAGATGGAAAAAAACATGAAATGTTTATACAGTCGAGTCCGCCAAAGTGGACTCTGTTTAAGTCGAAAATTCGTGTCAGTCGAATTTTTGAAAAAGTCCCAATTCTTTCCTATGTATTACTGTGTAAATTGTTTGTTTAATTCAAATTTTCATAGTCGAATTTTGGCTATATCGACGGAATATTCCGGTCCGGATTGGCCGATTTGAAAGTAATTTCAACCACACAAGTCGAAGCTCCAAATTTTGTAGCGCACATGGGAAAATACAAAGTTCAATCCTTGTTGTACGGCAACAAGTCAGCCAAGTCAAAACTAACATGGCTCACACGATCGTATGTCGTAAGTTGCAGTCTACTCTCACAATACAGACACCCCTCCGGACCGGCTCCAATGTTCAGTTTGTCGTCCAGTTCAGTTTATAGAACTTGTGTTGAACCCATTTTGAACAAGATTGTTTTAGTCTGGGCCTAGCTATTTAATTAATTTATCAAAGCCCTGGATTCTTTTGACTAGGTCTAGCCTAGCTAGCCTACGCAAATTCAACACATTATTTAATAATACGTACAGTACCTGTTGTTTTGCTGTACTATGCTCATCAAATTTTAATTATTACCAATAAAATTGATGCGATTTTTATATTGTTTTTGCGTGTATTTCTTTAGGTCTGATTACGTTTTTCCAAGCACACATTCTTCGTTGGGCAATGCCACTTGCTGGTCGGCAGTCTAGTTGTAAACAGAATAGGTCGCGCCCCCAAAAACTCTGCCTGCCCGTTGACTGTATTAAAAACAAGTCTAAGTCTTAAAAAGCTTTTTCAATGTTTACATATACAGCAATTACAGTAATTAGTGAGATCGTATCTGTTGATGCTGCAGCAAAGGTCTAGCCGGTGCTCTATTTGTAACTACAGTAGCCGGTGCTCTATTTGTAACTAGCCGGTGCTCTATTTGTAACTAGCCGGTGCTCTATTTGTAACCAGCCGGTGCTCTATTTGTAACTAGCCGGTGCTCTATTTGTAACTAGCCGGTGCTCTATTTGTAACTAGCCGGTGCTCTATTTGTAACTAGCCGGTGCTCTATTTGTAACTAGCCGGTGCTCTATTTGTGACTAGCCGGTGCTCTATTTGTAACTGGCCAGCTTCTCAGGCTAGGCTGCTGGAAGTCTCCCAGTGAGTTGCGAGACGTTGGCGGCGATGTTTCAACATATATCCGATAAAATGGTCTATATTGTATGTAAGATGCCTGCAGTTATTGCGTGGCTTGTTATCTTCTTTTGAAGTCTTGTCTAATGCCATAGTATAAGAAAATGAAAACATTGTGGTTTCTGTAGCTAACAATAATGATGTTTGAATTGGATGGTACATAGCTAGATTATGTTCATCCATATATGTGGTGTACTGTATTATGATTTTTATTTAAGTAGGTAACTTAACTTGCGTTGGATAGTGAATAATGAAATGGAAAAAAGAAAAAAAACTCAACTGCTGGTAGTTCTGGGAAGATGCACCTAGATTATAACGTACAAATGACCTATGTATGTTTGTTGTGTTATGTTACTTGTGCGGCACAAAAGGGGGTGCCCTTTGAACATATACCAACCTATGCAAAATGCGGACGATATAACTCGCACTTGGCATAGTCAATAAAAAGTGCTATCAGGGTGCCGTCCCCTAATATTTCCCACAAATTTATTAGATACATCATTTTGATGATATACTGTATGAATAGATAAAATTTCAAAAAAAGTATGTTTGTACATGTAAACTAGGTTTTTAAGGAAGGAACCTTAAAAAAGGGTCTGACATAATGTCTGTACAAAAAAAGTAAACATCAATAAATCATTTGTATTCTGCAATTGTTAGTACATTAAAAACAAAATTATATATTATTATCCACACATTTGTTTGCTTCCAACGAAAATGCATTTGGAACAGCTTTGAGTCAGTGAGGCAATTTAGAGAATCCTCGAACACACTGTTCTACGATGCACAAATAATAATTTGGGATTACATTCCATTATCATATTTCAAGTTATGATGCCCTTTTAAGATCCCACTATTGAACTCCTCGCCTGCTGTATAACGATAGCAACTGTTAGGCATGCAACCACCATTAGGATTTGTGCAGTAGTACATAAATATAAAATCGTAGTACAGTATGCTACATTACTGTATATGGAATAGCGATTGAATAATACTCTGATGTATGTGTTTATAGGTCATGTATTATTAATAAATTAAATGTGTGCATTGAATTATTTTTATATCATGTTTCCAACTATGTACTGTAGTCTGTAGGGCTAAATCTATTTCTGTCTCGGAATACATAAACATTTTAACAGATTAATAACTGCCCTTGGATGTTTAGAGATGACCTATCTTCCTCTCATATTGATAAATTGTTTAAAAATCGAGAATGTTTTTAAAGCGTGTGTGTTCAGTGTGAAAAAAAGAAGTATTATAATAACAATGTACCCAATCTATGTCTACTTACAAATATGTTTTGCATAAATTAGTGAATATTTATTGCTCTTTTTCAGATACTTGTATCCGACTTGCATTACGCCAGTGTGGAATTCAAACAGTGTCCAGTTTTCGTGACCATAAATTTGAAGTCATCAACTACTTACGCTACAATGGCTGCCAAGGTGTGCTTGCTCAAAGTGCTGACTTCCTCATCTTTGACCCTCCTCAGGTTTTCTCCTCGCATCATCTCAAGTTGACGAGGAAGGGGGAACTGTTAACTTTACAGTACCACATAAATGAGATTCTTAAGGTGCTAGACTTACACCCAGAAAGATTTGTTATTTTTGCAGCATTATTGGGTAAGTAGTTAATATCAGGCCCGTAGCCAGGGGGTCTTTTTATGGTTTGCGTAACATCCCCCTATCCTAGCAAATCTTCTTATTTTCTGGCGAAAAACCCCCTCTGTTGAATTTCCCAAACAAGTCCTCCAACGCAACTAAAGCATTGCAGACCCACCTAGACTCGGACGGAATGTTTTCCTTCCGACTCTTTTCAAACATAATTGCTTTTATAGAATTATTTAGACCCATAAAACACAAAAATCCTCTGCTTTTGGAGATTTCATCGACCCTGGACTTCATGCCCAGAGAACCCCTCCTTTGGAAGAACCTGGCTACGGGTCTGAATATGGATGATATAAACTATTTCTTAAATTTATTGACCACCTTCATTGTGTTAATTATCAATATTATAACATTGTGTATCAATTTGCTCAGTAAATTACAGTACCAAGTAGGTGTATTAGGCAGTCATGGCACCAATTTGCCTGATATGATGTTAAACATCAAAAGTTTAAGGAGGCAGATATTCAACATCAGGCATTACTGATGGCAACACAAGGCGAGACTGTTTTTTATACTTTGTTTAGTGAACATGGCACCTGCCAATAATGGTGATTATGAATAAAAATCAATTTTATTTTTGCCAATTAGCGCACTCACGAAAAAGTGGAAATTTCATTAAAAAAATTTAAGTTATCTAGTTATTTTTATTACACACGCCGCTGCCTTGAAATCTCAAAAATTAAGATATGTATATTTCTTACTAATTATATAAATTTAAAGCATTTAACCATCCTATTACTACATTCACCAATAAAATTTTATTTTTACTTTCTCCTCTGTCTGGATGTTTTTTGGCGAAAATATTTGCTAATGAAAAACCAAAATTTCATTTTTATTCTGCCCTCGCGAATAATAATAATAATAATAATAATTTCGCGAAACAAAAAGAAAGTCTTGCCTAAGTATTCAGTGATAACATGCATTATGTGGTATCATTACCGATGCAGTACACTTTCCTGATATCATATGTGTCATTTATATAAATATTCTTGGCATTGAAAAGTTTTTATTAGTTTACTTATTGAAAAAGACATAATTCTAATGCAATAACTTTATTTTAATGTCTTTTTCAACTATTAGGAAATCACATTCTTCCGGAAGAAGACCTGGCATTGTTCCAGTGGTCTCTTCTAGGACCAGATCATCCTCTCAATGGTTTACGAGTAAGTGAACTTCATTTTGTTGACCCATTTCTTTTTCTTAGTATAGATTCTTCTGGGAGACAATCTGTATGTCAATTTATACATAATTATTATCCTTCAATTTGTTGTATTTACTGGTTATTGCCAGTCTGATTCTTAACATCAAGATTGCTATTTTAATGTGTAAGTCTGATGAATTTTTGCCAAACTGAGGTCTTTTATATCCTACAAAAATGTTGATTATGTCTATTCCAAATGAATGTTAACAAGCATATAGTTTTAATTCAATTATAAAATCATACTATAAATCAATGGTACTCGATACATAAGTAAAATTCAATTTAACTGGGTTGTAATTGAAGCATGTGTTTTCATAGGGTAAACAGTAAGGTGAATTAATAGTGTTACTTGTGGGTATTTGTCAACCGTGTGTAACACGCGGTTGACCAGCTATCCATGTAGTTAATAAGAATATGGCCGCAAAATAACCTTTAGTCGGCCAGCACATACCCCTAAACACAAATTACTAAATGCAAATTCCTTATAATGTTCTGTCTATATAATTTGGAATATAGCCAAATATTTTTTTTTAAGATGATGAGGCTACTTTTGTTAATTCACTGAAGTGGCCAAAGTGAAAATAGAGTTGCATTTCTTGGTCTGTGGCAGCTAAAGCCATGCACAGATTCCCAATACAGTTAAAAGTCTTCAAATAGTATAGTATAATATTTATTGTTATCCATTCAAAAGAATCAATTTACACTTTATAAAAACAAAGTCTTTTCAATCTAATCTAGAATACATTATTATTCAGTGATATAGTCTTAACATTGAGATTATATGTATTATTGACAAATGAAAAAAAAATCTATCATACATCTGCTTACAGAATTCAAGAATGCATGTTGCATGAGGAAATTTTCTTTATTCGTAGGGAAAGATCAATTCCTGTGGGACCTGTTCTGAACATTTCTAATAATAATAATAAATGAAGATTGGAAGCGTCAGTGTTTGTGGCATTGAGCCAACTTGGTAGTTTAAAGAAACTAGTGGAAATCATGTTAAGTCTGATGGCTTGTCATTGTCGAGATACTCTTTTAATATTCATAATGCTGTACATTTGTGTATTAAAATTTAAAATGTTTGTCTTAGAAAATCTGTTATGTTCATAAAGTATTGTAAATTTGTTTACTAAAAAGTTGATATGAATATCTATTAATTTTGTCCCAATGAGGGAAATGCTTTTTTTTTTTATAAATTTCCGTAGTTAATTTTATAAAATATATATTAATTCTTATTTTAAATTAAAAATATAAATTAATAATAATAATAATGATTTGTAAAGCATGACCACTAAAATAGATGCTCAATGTGCAGTGTATAAAAAGAACAACAGTAGAGAACAAACAAGAATCACAGACATCACAAGAAACAACTTTGTTCTATGGCGTTACAGCAAAACAAGAAGTAGAGATGAAAAGCCAAATTACTTTTTTACTTGGCCATAAATATGAATTAAGAAAAAAGAATAATTTCTGAAATATAAATTTATTGAATCCACAATACTTGTATTTTTTTGTTTGTTAGTAATTGCTAATGCTATCTTGCAAAGTAGACTTGACAATGCATTATATGTTTTGCTGTTCGTAGGCTCGTGCAAACCAGTTGGTTATGCCTCCGTGCGATGTGATTGTGTTAAATATCGCAAACTATGTGCGCTCGATTCCCGATATACAGGATGAAGATGCAATAGCAAGGGATGTATTTAAGGCGAACAAAACCGGCATTGAACAGAAGATTAATAAGTTCAAGGCATGCGTCAAGTATTACTGGAGTGGGACAAGGGATGCATGGACCCATTCAAGAAAGAGTATGTAGAATGATTATATAACTATAGTTTGCGTTTTAAAAATGTATATAGAAGGCACATCAATCTTCTAGTCTTAATCCCAATGATGGTCATTATTATTTACTTTTATTTAATTTCTGTTTACTTACGTATCATATATGCTACTATGTTGATCATTATGAATAAATGTACTTTTGAACCTAAACTTGAAAGAATAGGATACACAATGATGTTTGATTCCTTTTTGGAAATGGAGATAATGTATGTAGATTTGCGAATGTCTATTTTGAAAGTATTCCCCTGCAAGTTAATAATTCTTCAGTGATCTCTAACAATAAATGATCAGTCTGCATGTAACATTTTTTGTTTTAAGTTTTTAATTTATATTTTTAAATTCTGAGAATATTATTTATTTATTTATAACTACAGTAAAATATGTATGTTGCATTGAGTAGATTGTCAGTTAGAAATGTAAATATATGTTGTTATTTGAATATGTTCACAGGTAGTGGGTGATCTTTAGTTTATATTTTGTTTTTCTTTTAATCAGATAACTATGGTAGAAGCAATACAGCAGGGGGGTATCCTGACACCGCTCTTCATAGTGAAAGTCCACATGGACAAGGCGTAGACCTACATGGCCAGGTAAGATAATTATAACATTCAACATTACACCTGGAAAAAAAAATACCGTAAAAGCTCGAATAGAAGCCTAATGGGCTTAACCTTGAAGAAGCCCATCTCAAATTTAAGTCCTCTTAAATTTGTAAAAGTAGCCTCAAAAGGAATTCCCCAGATAGGATGGTTCATACACTGTACATGAATTTCAAAAAACAAAATAAATTTAAAATATGCTTGGTTTATACAGTAGTGTAGGGGATTTCATGCTGGTTAATACACTCCATAATACAGACTGATGTTACAGTGTCTCTGTTTATTGTCTTATGGTAGTAATTCCCAAAATGTGCAGGTTCCCCACCCCCCCCTCCCCTCCCACAACCTTTACTTTGCAAAGAAGCCCATCTCGAAAAGAAACCCATCTGAAAGTCGCAAAAACAAAAGCCTAGGACTTCTATTCAAGGGATTACTGTATGTGGGCCAGCAACTAACCCTGCGGAAATCCACATTTTGTATGTAAATTTCAGTGGGATGCTAATTTTGTTTAATCCATCTTTTTATTATCTTGAGTTAATATAGTACTTAGATTTGTAAACATATTTGCATTTAAATACTTTTTACTGTTGGTTTACAACAATACAAGTTAACATGGAGTATAATTTTCATCAAACTTAGAAGGTGTTTTATTTATCACCATTGGAAACCATGACTTAAGCTAAATCTGTTTTGTTTTTTTCTTTCATTTCTAATTATTTGTTTCAGTTGTATATTTTATCATTTTACCCCCATTATTGTAGTCACAATACAACTGTAGTCAAGAAGCATCAGACCTATCTCAGGATTTGGCCAATCTCAGTATTGATGCAGAGAAGATAAGTCCCTCATGTCAGTCAGACACTGTCTCCAGGTATTTATGAATTTTATGAAAATCACATGAGAAATAAATTGCATATGAATAAGTATATAAAAACAGAGTTCAAGTATTATGAATAAAATACACATTAAGTATGTTGCCTGATCCATGACATTATTTCAATACTATTATAACCAAAAACAAAACTTATTAATATTATTGTTTTGATTACTCTTATTGTTATCATTATTGTAATTATTGTTATTTTATTGTTTTACCAGTCTTGACTTTAACGCAGCTTGTTAATATTGTTTATATTGTATTGTACTGGCGAAAGCAATGTTAGTCACAGTACATTTACCCTGACTAATGAAAATTCAACCGAAAACAGTAACATATAACATATAATCACAAGCTGGGTGTAGAGAAACATTTGTCATTGATTGTCTTTTAAAAAAATGGACAAAAGTTTCATAAATAGGCATTATCAAAGAGTGTAAATAGAGTAAGAGAGCCAAATACGTTCATTCAGAAAAATGATACACAATACGCAGCCGGTGTAAAACTTCTCCTGCCGTTTGTATACACTTTATTACCACGCACGTTGGTTTGACGATAAAGAAATATAAGGAAATCTACCGCCCTCTACAAAAGTTTGTATCATGGGAAAACAAATACACAAACAAACTGTGGGCGGTGCAGTGCTGGGTAATAAAGTACATAAAAAAATGACAGTGGGCGTCCTACGCTAGGGAGTGCGTACAGGTATTTACAAACGGAAATACACTCTCTTGTTCTATTTATACTCTTTGGCATTATATACTATTTAGGAATTGCTATTCTCTGTTCATTGTGTGATTATTTCGTCAATAGTAAGGAAGAACCAAAAACAAATGGCGATTCAGAATCTGTAGGCGAGGATGATAGCCAGTCGAAACCAGTTGATATCTCAAAGATTCCATCATTAATGTCTCAACCAGTAGCTCCATGCTTCTCGGTCAGCACGCCGCCTCTTCCCCATGTAGCACCGGAAGTGCTTAGGATCGCGCGCCATCGGCATGAGAATGCTATGCTCATGCCACAGGTTTTTCAGATATTAAGCCAGGTAAAGTATTTATCACTGATCTGAATATGTGGCAAAGACAAGCCAAACCAGTCACTCGTCGCAAAAATCAATTTTGAGTTATTAATACAGTGCTAGAGAGTAAAATAATAGCTATAAAATGGTAAAAAAAAATCATTCAAATCGGACACTTC